TCAAGACAGGATCTCACTGTTGCCCAGGCTGGAGTGCAGTGGTGTGATCAAGGCTCACTGCAGCCTCAACTTTCCAGGCTCACATAATCCTCCAGCCTCAGGCTCCCAACTAGCTGGGACTACAGGTGTGCATCACCATGCCTAGCTAATTTTTTTTCTTTTTCTTTTTTTGTAGAGATAAGGTCTCACTATGTTGCCCAGGCTGGTCTCAAACTACTGAGCTCAAGCTATCCTCTCGCCTCAGCCTCCCAAAATGCTGGGATTTTTTTATAGGTGTAAGCCACTGTGCCTGGCCTACTTAACATTATTCTATCAATTGACTTACTTTTTATAAATTTAAATAAATATATTAAAAAGCCTTAATTTCTTCCACAAACCTGTTCTTTCTGCATCTTTCTCATCCTTAAATCCCTTCTGGCATTCATCTGTCTATATATCCTGATGGATCTATATCCCAAATTTATCTAGAGTCCCACCACTTCTCACCACCTTCATTGCTATCACTTGGTCCAAGCCAGCATCATTTCTTGCCTGTGTTGTCCTAACAGCCTCCTTACTGGTCTTCCAGCTTCTTATCGACCCCATAGTTCCTTCACCACATGGCAGCCAGAGGGGTCAGCAAAGTCAGTTTCCTGTCTGCTCAAAACCCCCCACTGCCTTCCCATCTTACCCAGAAGAACCAAAGTGTCTCACCACTGCTCACACAAACCTTCCTTTTCAAACACTTCTCCCCTGCTTACTCTGTTCTAGCCACTCTCATCTCCCGTGCTCTTCCTCAAACATGCCAGGCACACCATTCCCACCCTGAGGCAGTTGTTCCTTCTGTCTGGAGTGTTTTTTTTCCATAGGCTGTTGCATGGTTTCCTCCCTCAGCTCATGCAGATCTCTGCTCACATGCCTCCTCCTCAGAGGCCTTCCTTAATTATCCTTTTTTAAAAAGGCAAATAGATAGCAAAAGCTGCCTGCTGCCAGCCCCCCAATCACTCTCTGTCCTCTTAGTACGTAAACTTCATGATGGCCAGGTGCGGTGGCTCACGCCTGTAATCCCAGCATTTTGGGAGACCAAGGCAGGTGGATCACCTGAGATCAGGAGTTTGAGACCAGCCTGGCCAACATGATGAAACTCTGTCTCTACTAAAAATACAAAAACTAGCTGGGCATGGTCGTGGGCACCTGTAATCCCAGCTACTCAGGAGTCTAAGGCAAGAGAAGTGCTTGAACCCGGGAGTCAGAGGTTGCAGTGAGCCAAGATTGAGCCATTGCACTTCAGCCTGGGTAACGAGCGAAACGCCATCTCAAAAAAAAAAATGTAAACTTCATAAAGGCAGGTATCCCCAGTAGCTAGAATAGTGGTTGGCAGATAGCAGACACTCAGTAAGTATTTGCTAAATAAATAACTGCAATGAAAAGGCAACTTATTTTTCCTACTATAAACAGTATCATTTGCCTCAGATGGAAATCAACATAAAATACATTGACTATTAAAACAGAAAATGTCCATCTGCATATCGCCTCTAGTTATCTTGAAGATCTTTGTCTAACACCTTTACAGAGGAGATATGTGAGGTCCAGGGCAGAGTCAGCCAGCCAACTGCAAGCCAGTCCAGAACAGCCACACAGGTACCCCACAACATGCCTTGGAGCCATAGCCCTGTCCCCCAGGGTATGAACAAAGAGACTGAATCTCAGGAAAGATGTAGCTAGGTTGGACCAACAGAACCTATCTGGGGGGCCAGGAAAATACCCCCTAGCAAGGCACAGAGCTAGCAGTTTTGCTGAAGAGAACAAAGGCCAAAGAGGCATGAGTGCCAGGCCAGGAGAGCCTCATGGGGCTGCATCATGGGCGACAGGCACATACAAACCTGTAAGTGAGGTCCATGGAGACCAGACAGCTGAGAGCAGAAATGAAAACAGGATAGGTCCCAAAGGGTGGCAGCTTCAATCCCGTAAACACCAGACAAGTGTGGGGTTCAGGTGTAGGTCTGGGGACCCAGCTGAGCCCAAGGGAAGGAAGGGTCCTCCCCAGTCTCCTCCATCAGTGATGATGACTCTAAGCTGAGCTGAGCAGAAGCACCACAAATCCAGCTATAGTCACACCAGACATCAGACATTAAGGAGGGAAGAGCCAGGGCCACCCTTCTCATCTCCACATTCCGGATGGTCTATCTCCTCCCAAACCCGCTCCAGTCCCAGCCAGCTCCACTCATATGGGCCCTTGTGATCCAAACCCTATTTAGAAGGGACCATCCATTTCCCATCTTTGTGGAGCTTAGTGAGCATGGCTGCAGGTGCAGGGGGCGAAGCTAGAGCTGTTGTAACTGCCAGGCCAGCAATGCCTGACCTACATCTCCATGGTTGGTTGCATGCAAAGAAAAATACCAGGGATTTCCGTTGGTGTTCACCAGATGCAGCTGCCAAGAGAAGGCTGGGCCTTCTGAAGGCCTGTTATGAATAGGGCAAGACAAGCCGGCTGGGATAGGTGAGAAGGCTGGCCTGTAAATTATTACCTGGTTCTGGAAGCTTCCCTAGATTTTAGAGACTCTATATAATTTTCACCTGCTTTCTATCAAGGTCCTCCATTAAAGCTTAAAGCTTTGTTTTTCTTCTTCTAGCATATTTTTATTAAGAATTGAGAAAGGGAGAGAGAGAAAGAAGACTCTATTTGGGAAAAAGTTCCCCAAACTAAATAGTTGTTCTTATTGTAAACCACTAGCATTTGCAGTGAGGCTCTAGTTCCCCACAGAAAAGAGGCAATTTGAAAGTTCCACATGGTCAGGTTCAAGAAACATAGCTTACTACTGCTTTGTGGTGGCTCTATTTGGCTATGGTCCTGTCAATTAAGCACTATGGGCCTCACTTTTCTCCTCTGACAAGTGTGGAGGTTAGACCAGATGATCTCTCAGGCTTTCTCTCCAGCTCCAAAGCACTAGGACCCTATCCCCGGGCCTTTTTTTTTTTTTTTTACCCCTCAAGGGAGCAGTGGAGTGTAAGGGAAAAGTAAGCTTTCTTAGCAGACAAAAGACTGAGTTCTAATCTCAGGAATGCCATTTATTAGCTTACTGTGTAACACTGGCAACTCACTTCACTCTGGCAGCACCTCATTTTCTTCATACATAAACCAAAGACCCAAAAGTGCATTGAAAAAAGTGCTCTAGGGGAGGGAGGGAAACAAAAAAAAAAAGAAAAAAGAAAAAAGAAAAAAGCGCTCTAAGAGGGCCTCGGCATTATTATGCCTCCCTTATGCTGTTCACCCATTAGCATATCCTGGCTTCCCAAAGAACCTGTTCTTTACTTGACATTGCTCTGACTTGCAAACCCCTGCCCTTGAAAATAACAGGTTCCAAGAGCTATGCCAAAGGAGCCAGAATAGCCTCTGGGTCCTTAACCCTCTTCTGATGTCAATAAAAAGATCACTGCTATTTATTCAATGTTTTGTATATGCCAGACCCTCATGTGTGTTTACAACACTTATTTTATGGATAAAGACATGGACGTTCACAAAGGTGAATTTACTTGCTCAAGATCCAACAGACACAAAATGAAGGTGGTTCAAACCCAGGTGTGTCTGACTGCAGAGCCTGTGTTCTTCTCAGTAGAGATGTGGATGTAGCACAAATGGGAGAAAAGAGTTGGGACTTAAAGTCAGAAGATCTCAGTTCACCCAAGGTAAGAGGAAAACCCTATTTACCTCCTCCTAGCATTGTCAGAGGCTCAATGAGATAACGTGTGAACACAAGGAAGCACTAGACAAACTTTAGTTAATGATGTTATGCTATTATTTTATGACTCCAGCCTGGCTTTCACCACATTTGAAGAGAGTAGATGTAGCATGCTGTAATATCTTAGAGATAGTACAGCCCCACTTCCCTGTCTTGTGTCCTACAGTATCTCAGGCTTCCTTTGTTCACATCTGGTCCATCCTTTCAGATTCCCATTACTTGGAACCTCCAGGCCACCCAGCACTATACCCACAGCGCTCTCCCTGAAAGGTCATGGAGCGGAGGGGTTCAGAGTCCCAACTTTCTCACTTTTTTGTTGGGCACCTCAGGGATGATGGCTTACTCTGAGTCTCAGGATCCACGTTTATAAAATGGACATAAGACCTATCTCATAATGCTCAATAAATGTGTGCTAGCTGTTTTAATTATGTTATGCCTCCTTTCTTCTCTGAATTTCTCTAACCCTTACAGTCTTTTCCATTTACTCTGACACTTTCAGTTTCATGATCTAAGTTGTTGAGAGCTAGCTCGATACAGCTAGTGCTCGACTTATGACCACAATTGGGTCCGACAGACTGGTCGGAACACGATTTGGTGGTAAGTTGAGTAGGCAATATGCACGCGGAGATGGTAGTGCTGCCGGAAGCTGGTCCGCACTGTCGTAAGCCCAGCTGGGCAACATTTGCGCTGCCAGATGTGGAGCAGTTGTGGCTAGCGATTGTGGTCGTAAAGTCGAATGGTCGTAAGTTGCATAGGTCGTAAGTCGATCAATACCTGTACTTTATACTTCTCTCCCACTGCCACAGAGAGCACATGATAGGTGTCTGAAGAGCACCTATTACACACGTGGAAAATGGGTCCTTTCTGAAGTGGTGTGGTAACAGTGCGGGCCATATCCGACTATCAGCCACCAATCCTCAGGCACCATGTGGCTACTCATCTTTGGCTACTCTGTGCTAACTACTGAGAGTACAGGTAGGGAGTAAAGGGTAAATGGAAACTACAAGTCTTCTCTTCTAAAACTGTGAAGTAGAGAATCCTGACTTACCCTCCGGAAAAGGCCTCAAACAATAAGGAAAAGCGAAAAAAGGCAGAGAGAAAGCCAAGGGAAGCCCATGGAGACCACAGTTAAGTGAGGGCTTCTGAGTCCAATATATTGGATTTGTATTCTGTCCTTCTTAGCATTCGACCTTAGGACTATAATTTAACTTATTTTAAACTCAAGTTTTCTAATCTGTTCAATGAGGACAATAACATGCTTCCCAAGAAGGATTATTGTGAAGATTAAAAATACTACATTGGCTGAGTGTGGTGGCTCACACCCGTAATCCCAGAACTTTGGGAGGCCCAGGCAGGAGGATCATTTGAAGCCAGGAGTTTGAAACCAATCTGGTCAAGATAACAAGACCTCTGTCTCTATAAAAAAATAAAATAAAACAAAACAAATTAACACAGTGTACCTTATAGCATCTTGCACATGGCAGGCACTCAATAAATAGCAGCAACTATACTGTCATTAGTAAATTAAGCAAAGATGGGCCATCCCTAAAGGACCCTCTGATGGCCAGTAGATGCACACTGAGAACCAGTGACTTGAGGCTGTCTATAGCAAGTGAAGCTCTAAATGGAGAAAATTCTCAAATTCTTTCCCTGGGAGAGAAGCAGGCAGCTCAGTGTACACCAGAGGCCTCCAATCAGATATACGTGGGTTCCTCATAGCTTCCAGGTTGGGTGTTTTGCGGCCAGTTACCCTCTCAGAGCCTGATTCCTTATCTGTATTAGACAATAAGACCATGTTATTCCTCCTGAGAGGCAGGTAAGGGTGTACCATAAGAGCACAGGCATCAGGGGATTGAAACCTGGGCTTAATCCTAGCTCTGCCACTTAATAGCTGGACCATAACCATGGCACTCTATTTAACCCTTCTGAGATTCAGTTTTCTTATCTAAAAACCTTCCTTTTTGAGTGGCTATGAGGATTATCAGATAATGTGCCTGTGCTTAGCACACAGTAACAATTTCACTTGATACATGAAAGTGTTTATCTTGTAATCAGGGCCAGGTACTGGAAGGCACTCAAGAAATGTGCTGATGGCTGGCATGGTGGCTCACGCCTATAAATCCCAGCACTCTGGGAGGCTAAGGTGGGTGGATCACCTGAGGTCTGGAGTTCCAACCTGGCCAACATGGTAAAACCTCATCTCTACTAAAACTACAAAAATTAGCTGGGCAAGGTGATGGGCGCCTGTAGTCCCAGCTATTCGGGAGGTTGAGGCAGAAGAACTCCTTAAACCCAGAAGGTGGAGGTTGCAGTGAGCCAATATTGTGCCACTGCACTCCAGCCTGAGCAACAGAGCGAAACTCCGTCTTTAAAATAAAAAAAAAAAAAAAATGCTGAACCAAACTCTCCACCTGGGTGGAAAGGTGTTCAGAAAAAAGATACTCCTATGCTGGGAGCGGTGGCTCACGCCTGTAATCCCAGCACCTTGGGAAGCCGAGGCGGGTGGATCGCGAGGTCAGGAGTTCAAGACCAGCCTGGCCAAGTGTTGAAACCCCGTCTCTACTAAAAATACAAAAATTAGCTGGGCGTGGTGGCACGTGCCGATAATCCCAGCTACTCAGGAGGCTGAGGCAAAAGAATTGCTTGAACCTGGGAGGTGGAGGTTGCAGTGAGCCAAGATCGCACCATTGCACTCCAGCCTGGGTGACAGAGTGACTCTGTCTCAAAAAAAGAAAAAAGATACTCCTGGGCTAGGCGAGGTGGCTCAGCCCTGTAATCCCAGCACTTTGGGAGGCCAAGGCAGGCGGATCACGAGGTCAGAAGTTCAAGACCAGCCTGATCAGCATGGTGAAACTCCATCTCTACTAAAAATACAAAAATTAGCCGGGCGTGGTGGGGTGTGCCTGTAATCCCAGCTATTCAGGAGGCTGAGCAGGAGAATCGCTTGAACCTGGGAGGCAGAGGTTGCAGTGAGCCGAGATGGCGCCACTGCACTCCAGCCTGGGCGACAGAGTGAGACTCCATCTCAAAAAAAAAAAAAAAAAGTAAACTGGTACCCTGGTAACCACTGCCATGGGCCCGGGCTAACTATACCTATTTAAATCCCAAGTACACATATCCTTTGCCCCAGCAATTCCACTTTTAGGGATTCAATCACTTCCCCATATATACTGTATTCACATATGGGCCAAATGACAAATATACAGGGCTATTGATTGAGTATCACTATTATAACTGCAAAAGACTGGGAAAAAAATGTGTCTATCAATGGGAACTGGTTAAATAAAGCATAGAATAGAGCCCTGTGTAGAAAACCATGCAGCATTAAAAGAATGAGAACGCTTTTATGGACTGACACAAGATCTTTTTTTTTTTTTTTTTTTTTGAGACGGAGTTTCGCTCTCGTTACCCAGGCTGGAGTGCAATGGCGCGATCTCAGCTCACCACAGCCTCCGCCTCCTGGGTTCAGGCAATTCTCCTGCCTCAGCCTCCTGAGCAGCTGGGACTACAGGCACGCGCCACCATGCCCAGCTAATTTTTTGTATTTTTAGTAGAGACGGGGTTTCACCATGTTGACCAGGATGGTCTCGATCTCTTAACCTCGTGATCCACCTGCCTCGGCCTCCCAAAGTGCTGGGATTACAGGCGTGAGCCACCGCGCCCGGCCAGAAAGATCTTAAGAGCTACAACTCTGGTATTTGCATCCTATGACAACAAAATACCACTACTGTGTAATCAACAACATCAGGGTTGCTACCATCTCTGACCCTTTGTCTTTGGATGATGCTAAGCTAAAAGTGGACCAGGATCCATGATGAGGTTCCTCTATCCTCTGGGTTAAGTCTGTACAAGTAAAATAATAGGGAAAGAGGTATACCATTAAAATAAAAATTGGCTGGGCACAGTGGCTCATGCCTGTAATCTCAACACTTTGGGAGTCCAAGGCAGGAGGACTGCTTGAGGCCAGGAGTTCAGGACTAGCCTGGGCAACTCAGCAAGACCTCATCTCTATAATCAAAGAAGAAAATGGAAAGAAAGCAAGCAGGGAGAAAGGGAGGGAAAGGGAGGGAGGGGAAGGGAGGGGAAGGGAGAAGAGGAAGGAAGAAAGCTGGGTGTGGTGGCTTACTCCTATAATCCTGCTAACACTTTAGGAGGCTAAGATGGGTGGATTGCTTGAGCCCAGGAGTTCGAAACTATCCTGGGTGACATAGTGAGGCCCCATTTCTAAAAAAAAAAAAAAAAAAAAAACAAAGAAAGAAAGAAAGAAAATGAAAATTATCCCATCGTGGCTCTTTAAGAAAAAAGGAAAGGTAGGAAACTAACTTAATCCTAGCAGAAGTAGTAGTCAGGCTCTACGAGAAGGGCTGACAATGGCCTGAAAACCCCCTCCCTGATCTTTCCTTACCACTCCCTCTCCTGTTTTCTTTAAAATCTGTTTCTTCCATGCCTGCTAAGTCTACTTTATCAGGAACTCCTGAAAGTGGATGGAGACTAAGCTGGCTCTGAAAGAATACAAATGGCTAACAAAACGTTAAGAAAAGATGTTCTCCCTGGAAACAGTCCTTGGATATTTTTAACTGCCCCCCCCCATTCCCCCACCTCCCGTGACAGGGTCTTACTCTGTCACCCAGGCTGGAGTACAGTGGCACAATCATGACTCACTGCAGCTTCAACCTCCCAGACTCAAGAGATCCTCCCACTTCAGCTTCCCAAGTAGCTAGGACTACAGGTGTGTACTACCACGAACAACTAATTTTTTTTGGAGACAGGGTCTCACTATGTTGCCCAGGCTGGTCTCAAACTCCTGGGCTCAAGCCATCCTTCCACCTCGGCCTCCCAAAGTGCTGGGATTACATGTGTGAGCCACTACTGCACCTGGCCAATTTTAAACTTGTTCTTATGAGAATATTTAATCATGTACAAAAGTAGACAGAACTGACCCATCATTTAACAAATATCAACTCGGTGCCAATATGATTTCATCTGTTCCCCAACCACTATTTCTCTCATTCCTGTATTATTTTGAAGCAAATCCCACACAGGTCAGTATGTGTTTCTTCTTCTTCTTTTATTTTTATTTTTTACACAGAGTCTCATTCTGTTGCCCAGGCTGGAGTGCAATGGCATGATCTCAGCTCACTGCAACCTCCATCTCCTGGGTTCAAGCAATTCTCATGTCTCAGCCTCCCAAGTAGCTGTGATCACAGGCATGCTCCACCATGCCTGGCTAAGTTTTTATAAACTCTCTCCCACATGCTGGCTTTGAGAATCAACTGAAAAGTTAAAAAAGAAAGAAAGCCCCTACTTTTTCCCAAAGAGGGTACCTTCGTTTATTACGAAATATTAATGCAGTATATACCGTAAGCTCTAGGTACAACTTAAATCATAAATAATTCAAATTTGCAGCCTTTAAAACCCTATGGAGGCCGGGCGCAGTGGCTCATGCCTGTAATCCCAACACTTTGGGAGGCCAAAGTGGGCGGATCACCTGAGGTCAGGAGTTCGAGACCAGCCTGGCCAACATGGTAAAATACCACCTCTACTAAAAATACAAAAATTAGCCAGGTGTGGTGGTGCGTGCCTGTAATTCCAGCTATTCAGAAGGCTGAGGCAGGGGAATCATTTAAACCCGGAAGGTGGAAGCTGCAGTGAGCCAAGACCATGCCACCATACTCCATCCTGGGTGACAGAGCAAGACTCTGTCTCAAAAATAAAATAAACAGGTCAGGCCGGGTGCGGTGGCTCACACCTGTAATCCTAGCACTTTGGGAGGCCGAGATGGGTGGATCACTTGAAGTCAGGAGTTCAAAACCAGCCTGGCCAACATGGTGAAACCCTGTCTCTACTAAAAATACAAATAAAATTAGCCAGTCGTGTTGGCGGGTGCCTCTAATCCCAACTACGTACTCAGAGGGGCTGAGGTAGGAGAATTGCTTCAACCCAGGAGGCAGAGGTTACAGTGAGCCAAGACTGTACCACTGCACTCCAGTCTGGGCAACAGAGTGAGACTCTGTCTCAAAAACAAAACAAACCCTATAGAAATAAAGGCATTCCACCTTTATTTAAAAATAGGGGCCAGGTGAGGTGGCTCATGCCTGTAATCCCAGCACTTTGGGAGGCCGAGGCAGGTGGATTACTTGAGGTCAGGAGTTCGAGACCAGACTGGCCAACACAGTGAAACCTCATTTCTACTACTAAAAAAAAAAAAAAAAAATTAAAAAATCAGCCAGGCGTGGTGGCACATGTTTGTAATTCCAGCTAATTGGGAGGCTGAGGCAGGAGAATTGCTTGAA